ACGAAATTTGTAATTATCATAACATTTAATTTTAATTTATAGGATTTAAATATATATATATATATATATAAAACGAGAACGCAGAAAAAAAAGTGAAAAACGGAAAAAAGAATAAATAAATCTTTACTATTCACTTTATCTAATTATACATAATATGAAGTAATACATCTTTACAACTTATAGTATAAATAAAACAGTAAAACAACAAAATTGTGTTAATATTGGTTTTTATTAATATTATTATATAATTATAAAAATCAAATGCAAAATATTATTCATGTAAATTATAACGTTCGGACGATGAGACAGACCACAGTTCATGCAAAAAACTTCTATATCGCACAAATTTTAATTTATTAATAAATATTGCACAATATATATTCCTACTTATATTTATATTATACTACAATAAAAATAGGAATATTTTACTGCGTATGCGTCTTTCACTATTTCAGTCTTGAAATTAATTAATATTCAAATGTTTATTCAAATGCTTTGCAAATATAAACTGATAAAATAAAAAACGTGATTATACGTACAGACTGTTTTCACAATAAGTTGTTTACACCGATTTGACTTAATATTCTACGATATTCAAATTTTGCTTTGTAAGCGTTGTCTAGCCGTGCGCGATAAAAACGATTCATAATTATACATCCGCAGAATATCGCGAAAATAGATTTGCTTACATCGTTATTCCTTGTTAAATGTAAAAATGCGATCAGAACGTGCTGCGTAAAGAATTGCTGCGTGTGCGCAATTCTTCACGCAGCGTAAACGAGTACAGATGGTGTGCGTATAGAGGTGTTTGTAATTATTTCTCACAAATGAAACTTTGGAAAATAACTTTATCACACATGGTTGAATTTGTATTAAAATAATCTTTAATTTAGTCACAAAAACTTTAAAAATTTTTTAAAAATGTGAAGTGGTGGGGGAATTATTTAAAAAAATTTTTTTATTACTATCATAAAGTACACTTCAAGTTATTTAACTTTGATTAAAAACACTTTTTCTATCTCTCATAGTTTCGACGATATTTACATCGGAAGAAAAAAACCGATTTTTTTTAAGGGGTGATTTTATCCCTTCAAAACGGAATAGAGCACCAACAAAAAATAGTTTCGTACTACGGAACTGAACTGCTTTACTTTTACACAAAGTTTCAGATTTGTCTGGATTTTCGGGTTCCCTAACTTCCCTTGTGAGATATAAGCAATTCAAATAAATTGCATTTTTTATACGTGTCGCTTATGGCTACAATGTTAATGAAAATGTCGCGTTTATTTTTTAAGGGTCTAAACTAGCAGTGATATGTTAATAAAAAATGAGCATGCGATAAAGAGACATGAAATAAATATTGTGAAAAAGTTCATAATTTTTTATTGGTCAGTTTGGAAAATAGAGCCTTGAATAAAATGTAATTTTTTATTTTGATTGACATATGAAGGCGAGTGAAGGAGACGGTCAGTCGAGCTGCGTTAGTCTGCATCTATCTGAATTAATTTCTTTTTCCGCATGTACGTGTGACCTATGGACAGGTGCAATCAAATGTTTTCTGTCACAGGCGGGAGTGAAAATATTGCCACCAAACGCGCAATGGGACCTAATTTTTTAATGGTATTATCGCGAGTGTGCAGTCGTGAACATATCAATTGTGACACTTTTTTTAAATAGGTTTTTAAACGCATTAATATTTTCCAAATGTGAACCACGATTAGTGTATTAATTGTTTCTAGTATTTCTCTGTATTGCTTGATCGCTATGCTAAACAATATTCAATGCAAATTAAATTAAATATTACGAAACAATTGATTCTCAAGACTGTTCTTTATCGTTACATTATTGGACTACATTAAAACTTATTTTTAAAAAATTCATTATCTGAACAATTTCCCTCATATCTCTTTATTCCTCAATTAATATTCTCCAATAAATCTTTTTATAAATCTTTTATAAATAGAAATAGAAATATAGGATAACTGTCGAAATCAAATCTAGGATGGTTACTTATGTATTCCAATATTTTCCTCGCCGGAACTGAAAATCTGTACTATACATAACGAATTATACATTTTCATTATTATTTGCTCAGTGTACCGAAACACAGCTTATAAGTCGATTGTTTTTACTTGAGGAACCATCACCTTTATACGCCTATCTAAAAATTATCCTACAATTTCAGTCTTATAATGGCTGCGTTCAGCAGAAAAAGCAATTTTGCAAAACAAATTTTGTTATAAAAATCTTTCATATAATTAGTTTATACATTTAGATCCATGAAGAACTAAGAGCAAGAATTAATTATGTTAAAGAATTTCATAACTGCAGTTGCAAAGGTAATTTCTCTGCTGCATAACGCAGCCAATATTTGAGTATATTACTCCTTTAGGACAGTGTAAACTGGACGTACAGAAATACGTACATCAACAAGCATCTTTGTAATGCATAAATATAATAAAATAATTTTATCAACACATTTTTACATTTTCAAATACAACTTACAAAATTCTTGTGCAAGATTTGTAAGTTATTCTAACACTGCTCTTTGGTATCTTTGAATACGTCGAGTAACTCTTCTCTGTTTTCCGTGTTTAAGCTTTTCATAGTACGGAAAGAAAACAGAGCTTATATTACCACATAA